GATGGATGGATGGATGGATGGATGGATGGATGGATGTAGCAGAAAGCAACTGTAAGAAGCATTAATAGTACAAATTAGCAGAAAAGAGCACAAATAAAGCAGAAAAAGCAGAGGAATAGCAAAAAGAAGTAGAACTATAGCTGAAATAGCAGAAAACGGCTAAATTTAGCAAAAAGGTAGCTAAACTTAGCACAAGGAATTTAAAGGAAGCATAACCAGAGCACAAGATGTGAAAAGCAGTGGAGATTTATAAACAATTTCAAAGGTTTTAAGCAGTTGAAACATAGCCCCATTCAAAGTCAATGGGGAAAAAGTAGCTAAAAAAGTGCAATAGCTAAAAAAAAAAGTAAACAGCTGAAATACCATGAGTCCTTGTGGCATTAAAAAGCTGAACGTTTTGATATATGAATTGTTGAAATARCACAAAAATAGTAGGAGTAGCGGTCCAAAAAAACGTACAGAAGAAGTATAGAATAATAATAAAGAGAAACACTAAAACAATAGTTGAATACCTTAACAACATTCACACTAGTATACAATCTGAACAACTTCTCTGTTGTTTTATGAAATATTTCTTGCTCATTGTAAACTGCTGTTGAAGTAGTTTGTCCTTTATTAGTGAAACATACTTGTTATTGAGTCACTGATGTGAATGGTGACACCTCTGTGGCTTCTCTCTTCTCTTAGGGGATGGAGGAAACGATGTCAGCATGATCCAGGAAGCGGACTGTGGCGTGGGAGTGGAGGGAAAAGTAAGACCCTCTCCATCTCACCGTCTCATGTTGACGTGACACACTAACAGATTTTGTGCTTTGTATTTCCTGTTAAGATATCTCTCACACTCAGAGAGTTGCAGCAGAACATGAGGATCTATTGTCTGAGTGGAGGAAACTAGGATGACAGGAAGCTTTTTGTTTCAATGAAATTAAGAGTCTCATCAATTTTTCCTTTTTAGTTCTTGTAGGTTACTGTCTCTGTCAGTTTCTTCTGTCAGATAAACATCTGTCCTGATGTTTCCCACATTTTATGGCAACTTGTTAAAACACGAAGTGCTGCTAAGTTTTCATCTGATCTGGATAAGGAAAAATGAAGAACATTATTTGAAGTGAGCTGTTTTATGTGCATGAGCACTATTATATGTGACCCATCACATCGAAATGAGCATTAAGTCTAATTTGTTTGATTTATTAATTTAACAGGAAAAGATTATTAAAAATCAAGCCTGACTCAGCATAATTGCTGTTTTACAGCAGGTTCCTGTTCTGCAGCACATAAAACACCCAGAATTACAGCATCACAATCACATCATTATACACCATAGACACAAAGACACACAAGCATACCAAATTCGTTCAAAATGACCTCATCATATTTTCATATTCCTGCTTTAAAATCTACATTTTGACACTTAGATCATCTGATATCATTAGTAGATCCAGAGATATTATTTAATTTGTCTTGTTGGTTACAATAATACATAAATATTTAGTCTAAATCCTAATTTTTTGTCATTTTAATGAAGATTTTTTTATGTCATTTGAAAAAAGAAACCTCAAATAGTGTTTGAATATTGAGATTTCCCATCTGAAAAGAAACAAAAGCTTTGATAGCTCACAGGCAACATTTCAACATTTTAAGATGTTTTTCCTCAAAATCTGGTTTTTGGTTGCTACTGCTCTAAAAAGTGCTTCAAAACATTTTTAGGATAAAATTTCAGACAGTTCATTGAAATGATACATCCATAACACATTTATTAGTCCTATTTTGACAAAATGTAATTTCTGCAAGTGTTTTAATCAAAACACAAAGTATTTCTCCACAACTTTGGTTTCAATGTGATGGGTCACATATTGGATGGATGGATGATGGATGGATGATGGATGGATGATGGATGGATGATGGATGGATGATGGATGGATGATGGATGG